TTTTTTGTTGCTTGTAGTCATATTAAGTACCTTCTTTTCTCCTGTTGCATAAGTGTAATTAGTGAAATTGAAATAAATTTTTAGTTGCATTATAAGTAATCATTTTTTTAAACTTTTCACGTTGTCATGGAGGCTTGTTGGAAATGGTTTTGTTTGAAAAATATGACTCCTCTCAGGATGATATTTTTAGGGAACGGCTTCTGTCTCACTGAGTCCGAAGGACTCTTCGTCTGCTCAAGCAGAAGGGAAAGAGGCGCAAAACGAGCAGTAGGGATTTTGTTTTTTTTTTCTTTAACTATTAGGCCGATCCATAAAAAATGCCGATTTTTGTCTTTTACTCTTAACAATTCATAACTTTACTCCAGCTCGAAAATTTTCAACAAAATAATCACAAGAATTAACACATGCAGTCAAGCGTAACAACAACTTCGACATCCCACTGTCGGATAAATCCAGGAATCGAAGTATCAAAAAAGTAAACTAGACAATCCATAACATGTTTTGAACCAAGTATTCTATTTCAAGGAATTAGTAAAGCAGGATTTTTGAAGAAGTTACGGTCAGTATGAGAAAGATCTGGAGAATAAGGCAATTTAGCTGAGCTTCATTTCCCAGCTAAATTTTTCCCACAATAATTTAGATGTATGATCTAGCATTACTGATTTCTCAGTTCAAAATCTTTGAATGCAGTCCCTCCAGATTTTTGATCGTTTCATTCAGTATAGAAAACGCTGTCCTGCAAAGACACGGTTATTGGCACTCTGAATTTCTGTGTGGATTACTCTACAAATATTCCACTGAACCATGGCCATTTCATTAGGCTGTTGGGAACCGAAAAGTGGTTTCCATTCAGAAAGTTGTTTGACGCTTCCTAGCTGTTCAAGCCTCCTCTAATTATTATATGGTACTGGTTTGTGTTGGAAGTAACAGGCCGAGCTAAAAATAGGTTACTTCTGAATGACTGAATAAAGGCTGTGAGGTGTTATAAATCCATCGTTCTTTGCACTTGGATAAGCTTATGAGGTAACTCGCTGTTCGAGCTTTGTCTTTCGTATGCGTGTAGGCGTTGAATGATTTTTTGATATGGGACTCTAAATTTTGAAGCGGTACATCAAATATTTCTTTTGTGATTAACGTCTACTACTGGCTTTAAATTTTGGCGGTCTGGATCAGCTTATTTTCCTTAGCAATGTTGGTTTCTAGAGGTTCTATATTTCCAGATCTCGCAGCCGTAGCATTTGTCCTTTTTTGGAGGTTCTTCTAAGCGTTGCACTGACTGCAGCTGGTTGCAGCAGTGTCACTTTCTTTGTTCCACAGGTAAAGAGGGATCGCTAAGAAATTGCGTGTCCTCATTCTATATTAAAAATTTTAGGTTACGAAGTCAAAAGTGAAAATTACGAAATAGAAGTTCAGTGAGGTGAAAGAGCAGACAGCGGCTTCCCGACATCATCACAGGCTCCTTTTTCAAACATTTCCCTAACTTAGAAACTCAAGGCCCTTAAGTCGGCATTTCATTATGGGGCGACCTAATATTTTTAGACCTATTTAAATAATGAAGTTTAAGGAGCATGATCGTCAGTTGCAGTAGTTGTTACTTCAATGACGACTATTTCTACTCCCAGAAAAAGTAGTCATATTCATAGTTTTAAATCCTCTTCAGTTGTTTCGTGTCAAGTTATTTTAAATTTTTTCATATTGTCTGACTGATCTTTTGTCCTCATTTTCGGTAATTCCTCATACTGAGACCTGATAATGTTGTGAATTATAATTATTTGTTCAGGAAACCGAATATCTGTGAAGTCCTGATGCGAGATCCTTTATGGTTACTCCAGAAAGCCTCCGATATTATAAAAAATCTTGATTCGCAGAATACTGCTCCGCCACCAGCAACAGGTCTCTTTCCTTTAACGGATTATCCTTTCATATTTATTGAATTATTTTTGTCTACTGTAAATCATTAAATGTAGAGGAGCCTGCAAGGCAATATGAACAAATTTCACCGGGACCGGACTATGAGGCGGGAGAAGAAGAGAAACCGTTGCCGGCTTTCTACGGAGAGCCGGTTCCAGACGATGACGATATAATTATTGAAGGTACTAAACGTAAATCGAATTTGCGGAAGAATGTTGTGCAAGAAGAGGAACCAATTCCAGGAGATGAAAATGTGGAGATCGATTTTTGTAAGTGCATTTCTGGATGTTGTGTCCTTGTTTTCAGTAATGCTCGACAACTTCCAACTGACGACCAAATTCTCTAAAAGCATTATATTTAGACAATGCTGACCTACACATAAAAGCTAGTGAAAATAACAATTTCTTGATCGATCCTGATAATGGTGATGGTTTTGCTCTTATGTGGGGTGGAGCGCGGTCGAACTTTGGAATAGAAGTCCCTGAGGACTCCAATGGTTTCCCAAAAGTGGCTTTCCAAGCTAAAGTATGCGGCTAGGTTACAGCCATAAAAGTCATTATTACTAATGTTTAGTCGGTAATGTTCACTGAACATTTGTGTTGAATTACTTGAATAAAATTCCCCAAAAAATTTTAGATAAAAGAGTTCCTCCCCATAATCCATCTTCCTTTTGAAGAATTGGATCCTCACGATATTCGTGTTGGATGGTCATTAGGATCTACTAGCAACATAGTAAGTTCATAGGCAGTCTGTTTTACAAAAATGCAACCTTGTGGGTTAAATTTTATATTTTTCGCTTGGAAGAAAAACAAATGCACATTTAAATTCCTTTAACTAGCTTGGTGAGTCGCCGCATTCATTTGGGTACAGCTCTCTTGCTCGGAAGGCCGTGAATAGTATATTCACTGATTATGGTGAGCCGTTTCATATCAACGATGTGATAACATCGGTTCTGGTTAGTTATTATATTGTTAAATAGTACTGTTTTTTTCATAAGACTATCTGAAAAAAAAAATTTTTTTTTGTTGTCACTGTCGTCGAATGTGTTAAGGATCTGGAGAAAAGTGAAATATCATATTACAAGAACGAGCAGTTTCTGGGAGTGGCATTTTCGGATCTTGGTCTGTCATCAGGGGACGTTATATTTCCGCATATATGTACTAAAAACTGCAAGGTTGAAGTTAATTTTGGTGACGGTGATGCATCTGCGTGGACAGCTTTGACCCTTTTGAAAAGTGATAGTAGTGAAGAATCAAACTTGAAATACATAAATGGCTTGGACAGAAAATTTTTGATAAGAGGTCCTGTTGCACCTTCCAGTAAAAGCGATTGTACTGTAAGTTTTAGAAACTGAGCTTTGTGAAACTGGAATTCGTATATTAGATATCATGATGGGCAGAAAAGACTTGCTTTTGATTTTTTATTTATTCAGGTGTTAATGATGGTCGGTTTACCAGGCGTTGGGAAGTCAACTTGGGTTAGACAGTATTTGAGAGATCATCCGCATGAACAATGGACTCTGCTGAGTACTGATATCATTATCAGCGCAATGAAAGTTAATGGAATTGCAAGAAGCAAAGTACATCAGGTACGATTCTTTCCATCTAGGGCTTTTATTTTGCTGGGCCTTTCTCTTTAGGGAAGATGGGATATGATCATGGGCCTCACTGCTAAAGCCATGAACCGATCTCTGCATTTGGCTTGCAGACGCAGAAGAAATTACATCATTGATCAAACGAATGTTTCAAAAGAAGCAAGGAGAAGAAAGCTCTCTCAGTTTAAGGATTTCCAAGTCCATTCTTTTCACTTACTTTTCGGTTTTCGCGGAATTCGATAACCGTTTCATTGAACAAACTGTTCTTTCTGATACTGAGTTTCTTACTCACTATAAATTTGGAAATTTTTAGCGCAAGTGTGTTGTTATCGTCCCGTCCGAAGAAGAGATGCTTAATCGTCAAGCGAGGCAGGTTCGTGTGGATGGGGTGAGCGCGACACCAGTGGAAGCCATGTTAGAGCTGAAAGGTACGAACCTGTTGTGTCATTTTTTACTCACTTATCTTCAAACAATTTTGATGCCACATGTAATTTATACACTTTTCAGCTTCATTTGCTATCCCTAATATTGAGAATGAACCCATAGAGGGCGTGTATTTTGTCGAACCACCTTTGGAAAGAATTGGGGAAGCTATTGAGTTAGTAAACAGGTTGGCACTTTATCTTCCTCTGGCTTTTCTTCTTCCGCACTATTATGCCTGCATTTAATATCGTCTCGTAACTTTATTTGTAAAATTAAGGTGGTTTTGCAAGCCTTCACATTCCTTGTTTTCCTGCTTTCCAGGTTTAACGAAGAAGCTCAGCCTTGGTGTCAGAAAAAAAGAGGCCGTAGAGGTGAAAATCGTAGTAATGGAAGTAATGGTGTTGCGAAGAATCGCAAAGCGTAAGATAAATTGCAAGTGGTTTCGTTTATAGTTGGTGTTAATTTTTATGACACCTATATAGATAACATTAACCTTTTTTACTTGTTTCTACATCTATGATCGGCAAATGTAAATTGCATTTCTAATTATAATACTTGGAAGGCATGCAAGCCTCTTTAATGGGAAACTTAATATTCAGATCTGAAATTGAGCTCATGCTACCTTTAAAGAAATATTAATTTTTCCATATTTCAGGTCGGTGGCGGAGCAAGGTAGTTGGACCGAAGAACCGAAAGATGCATCGTCGACATGTAATTACTGGAATTACGACCAATTCAGTCTTAAGGATGATCGTAACTTCTGTTTTTGTCTCAGTATTTGAACTGCATTGACTTGACTTTTTATGTGTCGCTTAAAACTGTTATCTGTTTGCCTAGTAAAATGTCTTTATCATTCGCAGTCGTACGAGCTTTGCCGTGCTTTTACGACTGTAACAATTTTCGGAGAACACAGTTTCAGAGGTTAAGGTAGTAAGCCAAGGATTGGAGGTATAGGTAACTGGAACACTACAGTTTGCTACAATCGGTCTTAAGAGGGGCGAGAAGCTTTTTAAAACTCTTTCGAGTATAGCAGATCTTAAAATTGGTTTCATAGCGGCGGGTACCGACGCCACCCATGGTATGAGCTTTGTTTGCACTGTTCGGGTAGGTGTTGTTGTCTTTAGTACGCCGCTCGATACCTTGCGTGACATAACTGGATTTCAAAAGTCTGATGCCATGCAGTAGACTGGACTGTACTTAAAACTGTCTTTATATCAATTAAAACTATTACCTTCAGCATATACAACACACTTGCAAACCCATTTTCCTACTTTTTTAGAGAAGAGCTGATGGGAAATAGAAAGCTAGAGGTTCACGAATGGGGACTTTCCCGGACAAGAAGCTGCTTCTGCTTTCGCTTATTCTTACAGAAGCAACGCCATTAACTTACAGTACCAATAAAGTTTTCAGCGTTGCTGCACGCTTTCTATAGGTAAGTTGGACTTAACTCCCAGTATATTACAAACAACTTCAGGTAAAACACACAAAACATGGTGGTAGAAGATCAAGAACAAATGGTACTTTAAAAACCATTACTATCAGTTTAACAAAATAAATGACAGAAACGCGGAAAACAGAAGGGTGTCATTTAGTATAAATAAATCTAAATATTAAAATATACATAAACGCTACTTATTCAACATCAATTCAAAAAAAATTCTGAATTAGAAAAGAGGACTAAACTCTTAAGTGAGCAGAAAAACACCGTCGACTTTTACGTGTGAAGATCTTCAACAAAATACGCCGAAATTTTGTACTATAACAAGAACTGATTAAGCTTTAGTATTTACAAACATTAAATGCCATAAAAGGTTTTACGGCGAGCAACGTGAGATGGAGAGGAACGAATATTTGGGGAGTGAGCAGGTGAGATATTAGATGATGAAGACGCTGAACCTTCAGAGAGGGAATTTGTTTCTTCTAGAGACACCGTACGAGAGGAGGACGGGGACGCGCTCTTGCGGAATAAAGCATTTTTAGCCTCGCGTTCGACAAGAA